TGCCTAAAAGCTTCTATGCAGGTCTTTTTCAAACACATACAGTGGTTCTGGATGAGAGGCCAGTAACCTGCCCTTTGAGATTGCCACTTCACCATCGTGAAACTTGATGCATTATTAGTATTATTATGGGGTCAACTACACCGCCTTGAACCTGACAGGTAAACTCCAGCAACAAACCTCTAAAGGCATCAATTTTAGTGATAGCAAACAATTTGAACAACGTTTGTTCTAACCATAGCGGGAAATTTCTGCAGTTGAGTTGCCTTTCACAGACAGGGGAGGGGAAGAAGGGAAGAACAGGAGAAGGGGGCTGCTGTTTTTTTCCCTTGAAATCGAGATTTCTCAGAGCTCTACATTTTCCTATGCTTTAGGCACAACTTTTCCAATAACATGCTGCAGAAGGGCTTGTTCTGAAAGGTGCATTAGATTCAAAACGGAACGCTACTCCAGAAACCACATAGGATAGAAGTGAAGGGGCTCATGGGGTAACTTGTCAAACTCACCAGGTTTTCTTACTTCCTCTTCTCTACCCATGCTGCAAATCAAATTAGCATATAAACTACAGACTAACATTTAAATTCCAAGACTTCTTCTAAACAATATATTTCTATATAACATCAATTTTTCCACAGAATTAAAATACTGAATTATGTACTTTGAAAATACTTCCTGTTTCTGTGGTAGATAAGGGCTTGCTTTTTGCAAGTAACATAGAATTATTTTAGTGACTCATTGCTTAGAGAAGCCAAAGGTAAAAAGTTCTGTGAACGTTATCGCACAAAATGAGGACTGGAAAAGGGTTAAAAGCACAGTCCAGTATTCAAACATCATGCAGAACTGTACAACTCCACAGTAAAATCTGTAGGCGGATTCCCTTCCCGAAGGAACAACGCCTGTCGGCAAAGCTTGGCACATCAAGGGGAGGATGTTTGCATACAGGTCGCACCACACTGGCAGAACGTGCTGCTGACACGGGATGGGTGGCCAGATAACTTTCCATACTATTTCTTGAAAAGGTGCCCCTAGAGCAGAATGGGCCGAGTCGTTCTCACGTCCAAAGGAAGTTTCTTCATTTCGCAAAAGGGCCATGAGTAATACATGCAAATAGAGGAATAAAAATCCTGTGGCGCTCTCATTTGTAAAGGTCTTTTTTAAGCGTTAGTGCATAATTAGTGCATATTTGTAGGAAATAAAAAAAATTAAAACCCCAAAAGAGAGCATCCAAGCCCAGTAGTAACTACACAAAATGAGATAAACAACTTATTCTTTGAATGACTGCAGGATTTCAGGAAGTTTTCAGTGTCTCATGCAGCCCCAAGGAACACACTGCAAAATGAGGGTATATTTTTTTAAATGGTTATCATAGATGTTCAAGGCCAGGAATCTTTATCATGATTATCGTGACTGCTTTCACAGAAAATGCCAGTACTATGCAAAAACAGATGAGACCCGCCTACGCTGACACCTCGTCATATCAGCATCATATATCTAGTCATTACAGATAACTTATAGCCTATTAAGATGAAACAGCATTTGTTTACTTGATTGAATGGCAGTGGGACACAGAAACTCTGTATTGTAGTTTCAAACTACAGAAAATCAGACATATACATGCATTTTCAAAATCATACCAGAGAACAGACGCAGCACATCAAAAATAAAATTGCAAGATTTTTATCATGTAATTTATAATGCTTCAAAAAGCATGAAACTAAATAATGCACTTTTGAAGCAAACTCCCAAACTGGCATGTTAGAACAAAGCAACCCAAGAAAACTTATTTTTCAACAAGCAAGCAGGGTAAAAACCTGTGGAAGTCAATAAAATGCTTTAAATCAGTAGATTCCCATAAATGAGAACATCTGGAGCAGCAAATCTTGCTGCCATTTTCAGAATGGGCAAGACTGTGATTTACCTGATAACAGCTAAACAACCTGTCAGTGTCACAGGAAGAGACTGAAAGAAGCTTCCTATTCAAGAGGAACTTTCCTTAATAAAACTGTCTTTCACTCAACAACTTAATTAACATTCAGAGCTCAAAGCTCTAGGAATAGGTGAGCAGAAGAACACTAATGTACCTTTCTTGGTGAACGTAGGTTAAAGTTATTGCTAGGCTGACTAACCTGTCACAAAATACCACGGGATGAACCTCAACACACCAGGTCTTTTGCTTATGTGAGACTGAATATTGATTATTTATTAAAATAGCCACTACTTAATTTTAAATCATAGTTCAGAATTTAATATAATTGTAGACGTTGTACCGAATGTTATTTTAGTTACTCTGTCTCTGTGACTGTATTACCTACGCAATCAGCACAGCTTCCAACACAGTAGCTTCTTACCGATAACCACGGGAAGTTCCTACCCCACTGTGCGCATGACCAGAAATGGGAAATACTATTCAAAAATTACTCTGGGGAAAAAAGTTTCATCAACACCAAAACAGTACAAATTAGTTTACTTTGAGAAAGATGCAGAGTTATAAGAAAACACGCTGGAAGCTGCATATTTAAAACTTGGCAATAGCCAAATTAATTTAATTTTGCTCAATTCAAATTTGACCTAACATTTCAATGTTCATTTCATTTCTTTTCATAAAGATAAAACCCTCAGTATAAAATTGACATATTTCATTCAGCTCAAAAGTTTGTTCTGACTTATGGCTTCCACGTATCACTGCTTTCCACCTTTTGAAAGCCGCCAGAGCACGGGGGCCAGCCACCAAGGCCACCAAGCACAGGCCTGCCCAGCAACACACAGAATCCGCTCCACAGCAGACGATGACTTTGTAGCTCGACAAATTAGACTCAGACTTCCCAAAGCATGATACCTCCTGCTCTGTGGAGTGACTCTGCTTCTAGGTCAACAGTGTATAAAATCCATGCGATGCTGTGCACGTGCCTTAAGCACTTACATTTGAAACTTGTTAACCCTTATCTTGAACCCACTAGAGCCTGACCCCACGTACACAAAATTCAGCTGTAATCAGAACGCCAGCCCATCTCAGGCTTTCAGATTTGTCCCCAAATGCATGGTTCAACAAGAAGATAGATAATTTCTCATTTATTTTGTTTGAATAAAGAGGAATAAATTTTAAAAACTGAGTCATAGCTACAATCTATTTTGCCTGTGCCTGCTACACATTGGTGCGAGCATGAGGGAGAACTAGTTAAGTATTTGCTGCCTGATTTTTTTTATTATTGTTTGTTTTTAAGATTCATGAGAGGAAAAGTCTGTATAAACATAAGGCAAGATACAAAAACAGGATTAGTGCTTCTATTGTACAACACATTTTAAATACATTTATTATTATAAAATACAATTATTTCTAGATACAACAGGCAATGAACCAAGTTTCTCTTCATCTATACTACATACTTCCTGTGCTTTTTAACTGTGATGTCAAAAAAAGAAGTCATTTTAGCAAGATAATAAACCTGCACAAAATAGTTATCGCACTCATTCCATTATTTCATTCTCATACCGGTTCTGGATTTTTCGTGTGCGTGCACTTTAAATGAACGTTCACCCGTTACCGTCAAGCAACTTGTCTTACTACTTCACACTTTTTCTGTAAATCACAAATACCCTGCTTTCTAAACCCCTTGCATGCCAAACGATAGTGCCTTGCTGGAAGGAAATCAGTAGTGGATATAAGAAAAGAAAGTGTCAGATTATCAAAAACACTTTCCCCAGCACCGTGAAGGCCGCTACCTCACACAGCACACATATTTAGAACAAAATTTAAGGTCTGAAACTTTTCTGACATGGCAGATTGTAAAAGATCAAGAAAAACTCAGAATTTTACTCAAAGGACACAGATTATATAGAAATAATGACTCTCTGGGCAAAACAAAGATCACTTTCCTGACAGCTATTTAGTACCAGCCTCTCTCAAGAGGTGGGCGGGACTTTCCTACACTTTTTATAAACTACATAATCTTAGCTACAAGACATGCTGTCATCATGCAAGTCAGCATTTCCTATGACCTCCCCTAAGGATAACATAGGCATTACAATGTAATTATTCTGGCCTGGAAATCATTCTCATATTGAATACTCCTGTGCCATCTTCCACTTGAGAAAATAGCTCACCCAACACAATTCTAAACATGGTATTGTGTCAAGCTGACTTATTTCCATTTCAATAAATGTGCCTGATATTTTCCTCCTTTGCCAGAGAGGTGCACCATCAAAATAATCCTGAGATCAGCCTTTCTGGAGGGTTGTGATTGAAAGATGTTATCCAGTTAGGTACAGTTGGACCGAGCATTTCAGCAGCTTCTCACGTGTTTCCCAGAGATTGCAAGGGAAGGTTCCTTAAAAACCTCTAGACAGAAATGAGACCTACTTGCTTTCCACTAAGAATTTTTAGCACTCGTTTTGCTGACAGGTATTAAAACAGAACCACTGGATTTACTGTCTAATGCTATCGTACTTGTTCTCTTTTCTAAATAATATGTGTCATAGTCCTGGATACATTAATTCTCAGCATTAATAATAATTTCCAAACCATCTAACTGTGTCTTTGAGGACTTTATACATTTTCAGTTTTGCTTTTATATATTTGCCTCAGCTCTGCCCAGAAAGCTTCTCCTCCTGGATAATTTCTCATGTTTCAATCCACTGACCAGCTTCAAACCACAGGTAATAAAACGGTATTTCTTCTCACTACACGTGCGATCTGATCTCAGCCTTCGCACCTCGCACGCAAGCCAGCCGTGGGACATGAAGGGACCGTGTCCTGGTTGACAACAGCACCCAGTGTGCGCACCACAGGGCTTCTTGACCACCTTCCAAGTTAATCCCAAAGGGCCCATACGTAGGAAAGGCACCTCATACCACATTTACCTATCTCGCTTGTGCCTAAATTTTATACCAGCAGACGGCTGGCTTGTATGTGGCGTTTGGTATTGGCACAGGGGCTAATTAGAAGCTAAGCAAAACACACCACACAGAGTACAAACACTATCATTACTGTATACCTAGGAGCTCACCTGTGCAGGAGAAATCATCCACACGGACGTATCCCGTGACACAGTCACAACGATAGGATCCAGGCAAGTTAACACACACAGTATTCGCATGACAATAATGCATCTTGGCAGCACACTCGTCAATATCTGCAGGGAAGAAGAACCGAGGAGAGTCACAGTCAGGCTTAGTGAAATGAATAACATGACACAGTATCGGAATAAGAGAAAATAATTTCCATTTACAACTCCAAAGGCAATCTGGTTTAACTCTAGCATTAAAGAACAAGGCAAATTTAGGAGAAAAGTATTCCTTAAAATAGAGCTAAAACTCCTGCATCATAGTAATGGGTTCCTTCCGCTGTTCTTCATGAAATCCTAATTTTTTTTTAACTCTGGAAAAGTAACACATATATTTGGTTTTTTTCCTATGACAATGTTAAAACACAAAACCTGATGCAGATTTTTCAAACACATAAAACAGCGTCAGAATTATGCAACACTGAAAGTCCTAACTCTGTCTCATCGGTAAACTAAAGCATGAAGGCACAGTAACTCTGTACAACATGATATCAGTTGCAGTGCTGGATAGATACGGCATGGCAATGCTTGTCAGGGCAATGTAGCAGATTCAACCGCAGAGTTGATCAGCAAGTATCCCAACCCTCCAGATTCACCCAAGTGCTCTGACAGTGCCCTGTCCCCGAAACACACTTCTGCTGCAGAAGTAACTGAACAGCGCTCTGTGCCACTTCCACATCCCGCACGAGCGGAAGATTGAGCCAGTCACCTAAGCCCATTTTAAGCCTGCTTTACATCATCCCAATGGGAAAAAAAAAAAGGAGCGGTAGCTACCTGACCCCGTATCTCTGTTTGCTTGAACAATCTCTATTGCTGCTGCAAATCCAAAATTCAAAACTGTTTTCACAATAGTGAATCAAACCTATCATTTACTTGCCTGTTTAAATATCCCAAAGCTCTGTGATATTGTAAACTGTAAAATCCTCCCCCTTCTTTCCCCACAAAACCAGATATTATACTGAAGAATTCTCCTGATTTTTTTCTCAGCAGGATGGATTTTCCGCTTAGCAGCACAGATTTTACATGAAGTAATTCATGGTTTTCAAAAGAGTAATTCTAGTGTTACATATGTCCACACAAAGAAAGATGACTCAGACTCATTTTTTTTTTTCCCTCCTATTACTTTCTCCTTGTTATTGATTGCTCACACTCAAGAAAGGTATTAACTGACAACACAGCTGAAGAACTCCCTCAGTCAGTGAGGTACAGATGAGTTGGTCACCCCACAGCGCGGTGTCCTACCACATCCCTCCGCACAGCTACCTGTAGAGAGCAAGCTACACTCTCCCTTCTCCCTCACACACAGTGCTTAGGGAGACACAATGGAAGTGCTACAAGGGGTTAGTACCACAACATCAGGATGTAACCCCAGAAGATGGGGGAGTTTAACTGTGCAAGTACCGAGTTCTTGGTTGCCTAAATTCGGGTATCCTTTGTAACCTCCCTGAACCGAAGTAGCTGCAGTTGAGATACACCCCCGCTTTCCAGACTCTGAAAATGAAACACATGCCAGCTATACTCACACTTTCTATACTACAGACATCTGTCCAGTAGGAACGACTAGCTAAATCACTTCGTGTTGGCCACCAAACAGCTGTCAGTTGGCAGCGATTTGACTGCTGCCAGCTCGGGCTGAATTAGAAATGACGGCCTGGAGGCAAAAGATTTTGTATACCCCTGCAAACACCTTGAACTATCTCATTCCCGCATTTCTGTTGTTTCTGTTGCAGTGCCACTTGATTAAATGAATTTTAAAAAGTCAGGAGCATCAATATATGGAAGATAAAAGCCAAGAAAAATCCTCCCACATGTCTTATTATCACACCACTGAGCGCTAGAGCCACTTGGGAAACACTCAGGTGTTGACATGTGTTCACACTGTTCTGCTTGCAGCCTCTTTTTAATAGGCTTTTGGAGCATAGCTTTGAGGAGTTTTGTTCTTGCATATCTAATAATTTTCTAGCATAAAAGGGAAAGGAACGAAAAGATGCCTGAAAAGAAAGCAAGAATGTCAAAACAGCAACCAATTCACCTGAAAATTAACCTTATGCGCTACCCCCTATCTCCAGCTTCCTCATCGAATTCACCGGACCACACTCCTCCTCTTTCCTCCCTCAAAGGGAAGCGAGAGGATTAAAAGCCTCAAAGGTGAATGAATTTGAACTTTGATTCATTGCAAGCAAGGCCCACATTACCATAACACTAAATACAAGAATACCCAGAGATAAAAAGAAAATTCACAACCTATATGAAAATATCGCTGTGGGAGAATTTCCCAAAAGGAGACCAAGGACCTCAAGTGATGACTTGACTATAAATAGGGGAATTGAGGACAACTGATACTGGGTTGCTGCAGAAGTCCTTGAGTCCAGGAAGAAAAAGACTGGGCCTAACAAAGGAAGCAGAAGGAACAAAAGATCCCTCTCTTTAAACTTTGCTCATTTACTTAACTCTCTTCTCAATCCTTCTTGGTGCATTTTCCATAAAACCTTTCGGTATTTCATATTTTCCTTTACCTTTGCAGTATTAGCCTTCTACTAATACGCGCATCTCCTCTACAGAGAATAATATTGAGCAGTCAAAACTGGCAATATTATTTTCTTATTAAAGCCTGCAGGGCAATGCTAAAGCTGTTGTTCTGGACCACAGTTCTACAAATTCTTGTAAAAGGTTAGGTATTCATCACAAAAAGCTTTGGGTTTTTACTTAATATTGTTAGAGTAAAATCCATAAAGCACACAGTGGTATATATCAGTTCAGTTGTAATGGAACTCAAATTGTGATTCATGTGTATAGATTGCTTGTCGCATTTGAAATATTAGAGCTCATCTTCTAGTGGTCTTTTGAGGTGATAAAAATACATGATTTATGTTTCTCTCTAGACGGGTGAAGTAGTTTGTTTTTCTTTTAAAAAGGCATACTTACGGTCTTTAAAATGAGACTTGACACAGCATAACGATCATTTACGTATCACCAGCTTCCATCTACATAAGCTCGCTCTTTGCAACAACAGAGACATTTGGGCTTCAGCTTTTCAGCAAGGACCATTACGTTACAGGGTGGGTGGGTTTGGTAAGCGAGTGCTGCTCTACTGGGTTCAAGTGTTTCCTTAACAGCTGGCAAAACAGGGTTCATTGCCTATGCAGAGCTCTCTACCACAGTACTCACCTTCCCTATAGCTAGTCAGTTATCACCATTACTCCTTACAGTTCGAAAGAGTGTTCGTGAACTTATAGGGAAATACACACGTATTATCTTTTATTATTTGTGCCAGTGCACTCAGCAATGCTATGAGTACACTGAGACAAAACACAAGAAAAGCATCTCAGTGGAGCTACCTGCTTTGCACCTGACAGGCTTTTTGCCACACGGCAGGCACTCATCACCTCATACCAACCAACCAAGCAAAACAAGATGGGATGGAAAGACAATACAAATGGTGTTCAACCCATGGCCAGTGAAAGAGGTCTTCTCATCTGCAAACGTACTTTACAAACTTTACAAACCACTTAACTCTCTTCATGCCCAACTTGGAATCCTATTGCTAAATAATTAAAATATTTAAATAGGACAGTGAGACACCAAATCACAACCAGAGCATCTTTTTACTGTTTGTCCCCTCCAACAAAAGTCACATCAAACCAAATTAATCTCTGCCGTAAAGCAGGCACAGTTCCTGTTAATGGCAATGGGAGTTTTGTCCATTCACCCAAAAGGTGAAATGAACCTACTATTTTTTAATCTGTTAGTCCTGTAATAACCAAGTGAACAATCTCAAAACAAAGCGCACGCTGCCTCCGGAATTGCAGACCACTGTTTGCATGCATTTAATAATAATCCATTTGGACATTAGCAGCATCATCACCTGTTGTTTGGGGCTTCATAGTTTAACTACTGGAAGACAGTAACATTCAAATCAAAACAAAATGAAACAAACCATGAAATGTTCCGGAGCACCAACAGATGATGTATTTGGAAATCTGCTAAGTATCAGAATCAATTACTCCATTTGCAGCTATCCCCCAATTACTCGCTTTCTAGTTGGGGAGCATATTTTCCCAAACTTAGTTCTAATTTTCAAGCACTCTGTAAGGAAGCAAAGACAGAAAAGCAAACACAGGAAAAAAAGAGGACAGCTTTGCAGAAAGCTCTGATCTCTAATTCACGACTCCCAACTAGAAAACATTATTGGGGGGGTGGGGGGTGGAGGGAGGGTGTGGTAAATTCCCCTCTCCCCTTTTTATTCAAGTTAATACTATGCCTTGACTTGAGCTGTATTAAATCCCGGTCTAAATAATCTGGATTTCTAAAAAAGTAAAACCAACCTGTGTTGTTACTTAAATAATATCTAATATCAAAATATGTTCACAAGCTGATGAAATCATATGAACCAAGTTTCAAGTTTCGTGGAGCACAACAGTAGTGGAGCATAAGAGAGGTCCTAAAACTTCAGTCACCCTATGCTTATGCAAAAATGAACACATGCTATTTTCACTCCACTGACTTAGCAGCTCCTTGTTCATTATATTGACTTTTTGTTCTCCAAATTCTCCCCGATTCTGTCCTCTCCTGCTATGCCTTGACTTGAGCTGTATTAAATCCCCTTCTAAATAATCTGGATTTCTAAAAAAGTAAAACCAACCTGTGTTGTTACTTAAATAATATCAAACCTTAAAATATGTTCACAAGCTGATGAAATCATATAAACCAAGTTTCCAAAACAGTGGAGCACAACAGTAGTGGAGCATAAGAGAGGTCCTAAAACTTCAGTCACCCTATGCTTATGCGAAAATGAACACATGCTATTTTCACTCCACTGACTTAGCAGCTCCTTGTTCATTATATTGACTTTTTGTTCTCCAAATTCTCCCCGATTCTGTCCTCTCCTGCTCTTATCTCCTTTCCACTGCCAGACTCACTTGACTTCAGCTCTGCTTGCCTTCTTTTTTTCCCCCTCCCGTTGTCTTTTGCATGTGTCTAACATAGCCCATACCCGTTTTTTACCTTTAGCACAGGGTTGGTTTCTCAAATTGTGCAATGCAACCCTCAGGGAGCCATAAAGCACTAGA